GAATGGGGAAACGATCTGAGGAGGGTAATTTCAAACAATTATTTCTGGGGGAGGGCCCCCAGACGCGTTCGCGTGCCGTGATCATCCCCACCTCCTCGGTACGGATTTACGGCCTGGTTGTGACAAACCAAGTTCCTGGGAATATGTACAGCCCAAGATTCGTCCGCAGGAGGCTAGACTTACATGGAAGTATATTAAATTTTGCAATTAAATGAGGATGTTTATTTAAAGATGACCAGTGTTTTCGACATGACACGGATGTAGAGCCAGATGAGGTATCCAACAGGTGGGAAGAACAGACAATGGAGAAGAGCAAGTGCTTTCATTCACATCAGAGACGCGGCAGTAGTTAAACCGCAGTCGCTACAGGAGGGCCAGAGTATTACTAAAGAGTAAGAGACAATTATGTAAATATATGGGACAGACTATCCTGTTTGGTGGCATGTATATGTTATATATGATTTTTAATCTCTGTGGTGATGTAAAGGCATAATATTATCTGTGACATTGTTCCGTCTACAAGAGAGGAGATTGGATGCTCTCTGTGGTGATGTACATGTAATGCAGATGTTATCTGTGACATTGTTCCTCTACAAGGAGGGATTTGGATGCATTCTTGTGATGATGTAATGAGACGACTGTTATTGTGACTTTGTTCGGTCTATGTTTATCTGCTATGGAAGAAATGTAAGTAGTTTGCAGTGTAGCAATGTATTATTTAGCGAATTATGATCACTTAATACGGTAGGGTACTATAAGGGGGAGGGAGGTGGGAGGTTAGGGGAGGGGTTAGAGAAGGGGGAGGGAGGTGGGAGGCTAGGGGAGGGAGGTGGAGGAGGAGCCGCTGTCCCCCCCCCCTGTTATGAATATGGATAGGAGATAAAGTAGTGATGATTATGACTTTCAAGTCTATGTAGTATCGAGTCGTAAAACTCACCCATTTGCAGATGTGCTGGACATGAACCAACAGAGAAAGGACTTGAATGTGGCGTGCACAATCTGAGTGAAAAACCAGTCTGCCTTGTCGTAGCAGTTCTCGAGGAAGTCGTTAGTGCTAGCATCCATGCTGCTCTGCATGAACTTGTCAGCAACTTCGCTGTCCAATTTCTCCGCGTCAACGCTGTACCACTTTTTGTTGTGAGAAATAATAATGAATAAACGAATAAGAAGACTCCACATACTCCTAACACAGTTCGCGGTGAGAGTGTGCAGGTACTGTCGTATACCCGCCCCAGTAAGGCTGAGAGGGTCTATGTCCCCCAGGGTACTGCCGGAACGTACCCTGGTACTATCTAATATGCCGGACCGTACCTCACCTACTCCACTAACGAGTCTAGGGAGTCGCCTACGCCTACTCCCTAACCCTAATGCTAACCCTAACCATATCAAATAGTTACCAGGGTACGGTCCGGTATATACCGGACCGTACCCAGGGTATGTTCCGGCAGTACCCTGGGGGACATAGACCCTATAAGCCCCAGTAACACCTATCACACTGCTGTTGCTGTTGGACCACAGCTACTGTTGGGGGTTTTCCAGGTATACGCTAGTAGCCCAATGTAACATAGCATAGCAAAGTAGTGTGTTACATCGTGCACACAACCCACCTATTAACAAACCACGCCACTTGTCAACCTCCAGTGAAATCAATCCCCAGGAGAAGTGGCAGGGATTTCATGGTTGAGCCAAATAGTGGGGGTAAAAAATGTGTAAACTTTTTATTTTTACACAATAACTTCACACCTATATGCATAAATTGAAGAGGGTTTCCACCATTATGCTGCAAAATCCGATTACTGATTTTAGAAGATGTGATGTACGCTGATGGCTACAAGAAATGGCCAGGGCTATTTCACATAGACTAGAACACGGACATGTAGTTTCACATTTCGTTACCAGATGACTATTTAGTTTCATATTTCACCATCAATGTAGGTACTTTCACGGTGACAGGTGTACAAGCAGATACAAAGATTTTGATGCATGGGTGAGCATTCAATTCCATAGATATCCAATAGCACACAATAAATTTGGTATTTATGCTCAATTCACATATTAATTGATTATTCTGCCATTAATAAGTGATAGTGACTATACGCATGAACATGTATATACTCTCGTGTATTACTTATACTGATGTAGCACATAACCTCACATGAAATATACACATGTGCAGGCACTGCAGGGTGCGAAATTAACGGGAGTCCGGAGTCAAATACGCCCTGATTTAATGTCGGACTCCCTGATTTGACATATGCAGGAGTCCGTGTGACTCCCTGAAAATTCTGCCATACTAACTAGTTCGTTCTGGAGCATGGCCTCGCGGAATTACTGTATTTGTTCAGCTAATGTCCAAAAAAAATTAGCCACACGTGCAACTGCATGAATCTTAAAAATAAGCACATGTATGCGTTATTGTTAATATCTTTAATTTTGAACCATAGACTGCGGACTCCCTCATTTTGCTGCGGACTCCCTCTTTTTGAGTGTAGGGAGTCAACGGACTCCCTTGTTCAAAAGTTAATTTCTCTACCCCTGCATGTGCATGGCATATATGATGAAAGGTTTCCTCACAGCTGTATTTTCCATTTTCTCTGTAATTTTTCAGGGGATGAGGGACCTTGTCACTATATCCAGTGCACTGGACACCGGCAAGTATGAGAACATAACATAACATTACCCGTCATTCACCCCTAACAAAATATAAGAGGACACTTGCTAACATTGACAATTAACATCACTCATAACCTAGCCCTATTTGTTATTAAGGATTGTGGGATAAATCTAGACTGTAACTGTGCAAAGCTGTTGTTGTTGCCATCCACAGTCTAACTTCGAGTAACATAAAGGACATTCGTTCATTACGGCTCATACTGGCCTACTACTAGTACTAGTAGTACCGGTTCAAAGATATAAGAGCTGTCGACATGTGCAAATGTGGACAGCTCTTATATCCTTGGGCTGTACTACCAGTAGGCAGTACTAGCCCTTCCCTTCGCTCTGCCACAGGAGTGTGGCGAAGCAAAGGGCTGTATAGTTCTAGAGCTAACTACTTGGTCGTCATCAATGCTAGTAGTAGTGCTGAGAGGGTCTATGTCCCACAGGGTATTGCCGGAACGTACCCTGGTACTATCTAACATGCCGGACCGTACCTCGCCTACTCAACTAACGAGTCTAGGGAGTCGCTACGTCTACTCCCTAACCCTAACCATATCAGATAGTTACCAGGGTACGTTCCGGTATACCGGACCGTACCCAGGGTACGTTCCGGCAGTACCCTAGGGGACATAGACCCTATGAGCAATAATAGTAGTACTATACTATATTACTAGTAGTAGTACTGCTAGTAGACTGAAGTAGTACTAGTAGAGCATTGATGACAACCAATGTAAACACATTACTGTGACTGCATGTTGTCAGTGACAGTGTCAGTGACGCAGATGGGGTCGTTGTCGTATCAGGTACGTACTACGTACAGATATGTACCCGAGGTACATGTTTATATTTTTATATGAGGTATGTTTAGGGTTAGGGTTACGGTTAGGGTTAGGGCTAGGGTTAGGGTTAGGGTACACTTCTGTAGTACAAGTCTGGTACACTTTGTGTATACATATATGTACCTCGGGTACATATCTGTAGTACCTGATACGACAACAACCCCTTCAGCGTCAGTGACACACTGTCACTCGCAGCTAGGGCCTGCATACCTCCCAAATCCCATTGGTTGATACAAATCACGTGCCTGAAACTCCTGTTTGAATAAAACTTTTATGGTGCATTGTGGGGGGGGGGCCTGTTTTTTTACCGTACCACTAATTAATGCGTAAAATCGTCACCACACCATAGACGGTATTTGGGGTTCTTGTATATATAAGATAGCCGAGTCGGTGTACAGTTAGTGTTGGGTTCGGAACATGTGTTGTGCTTGTGGTTTGTGCTTGTGTATTGTCTGCAGTGCATGCGTGGCACGGTAAAAACACACGTGTCGGGTGTCCTGGTCGAATGGGAATTCTTGACGATCGATTCCCTTGCTGGCAAACTTTTATTGTGGTGGAATTTAATCGGGGCGGAGGTATTTTAAACGGGGCGCAACGATTGAAACAGGGGGGAGTTTTCCAAAACGGGGCGCGCGCGCCTCGTTTGCGCAACGTAGGGAGAACCCTGCTAACCCTAACCCTAATCCTAACCCTAACCATATCAAATAGTGACCAGGGTACGTTCCGGTATATACCGGACCGTACCCAGGGTACGTTCCGGCAGTACCCTGGGGGACATAGACCCTATGAGTATGAGCGATAGTTACCTCGAGTACATATTATACGCCATTAAAGGCATTATACGACAACGACACTTCGTGCTGTAGTTGGTGGGTGGTGGTAACGTAGTTTCACTCACCCGTGTGATTATGCTTTCACTACCCTGACTTACAATTTAATTTAAAAAATTAACTATATTTGTATCAACCAATGGCAATGCCGGGAGTTGGAGGTGCTAGCCGCGAGTCACACTGACACTGTCAGTGTTGATCAAGTCAGACTTACAAAAGATTTATCTGAATCTTTCAGATTTTTTTAAAGCTGAATAACTGCAGGTTATGCTTCAACCTTGGGCACACATGTATTTTTCAGCTTGGCATTCGTACAGGAATCACAGACACGCTAGTCATGTTAAACTATCACGGTAAACTTTACAGTGTGTGCATAATGTATCACTCACAGGAATTCCATCTAATGACTATAAAATAAATTACAGTGATACATTATGTATACACTGTAAAGTTTACCATTCAGTCAGGTCAGTTCGTATACATGACTTCCATTTTAGATTATCCAATTTTTATCTCCGCCAAGGGGCATGGCGGGGGTTATGTTTTCACCGGCAAGTTTTTGAGTGTTGGTTTGTGTGTTTGTGTGTTACCATGCACGTTTCAGTTCACTTCCGCTAGGTGCGCTTGCTGTAGACTTACAAACACGCAACCACAGGCTAAGGGGCAACCACAGTCCTCCCCCACCGGCACGCTCGCACTAATCCGGATCCAATTAATTAATTTTTCCACTTAATTAATTAATTAATTAATAAAAAATTTCACATTGAGAGAATTCAGCTGCCTTGGCGGAGGTCTGTACTCTCCGAGTGCTCTAGTTTACTTCTGAAATGTGCCTTTACTTTTTGTGCAAAGCAAGTAAATTTATTGTTTACCATAACTTTAAGCATATACTGTGGGACTGTATAACACGGTTACTTGTACAATCATTGATAACAACACTCTTTTCTTAACAATTTGATAAAGAATGAATAGCACTTCACTTTTCACATAGGGAACTAAACCAAATTTCAACCAATTAATAACACTACAGGCTATTGCTAACACAACTTGCTCCAATCCTATTTTGGTTTCCCTTCCCTGGGCTAAGGATTGTGGATAGGGTTATGTTATGCTTGGGCTCAGGGTTAGGGTTATGGAGGGGGAGGACAGGCACACGGTGGGGCGGTGTGGAGTAGGCGGTACCCGGTGTGGTACTGCACGGTAGCGGTGTGTGTGAGGCCGGTGTGCGGTGTATGACTGGGCGGTGTGTATTTTTTTTTAGTGTGTGCAATGCCCTACGTATCTCTTGCATCCGAAATTATTCCATGAAATTCAACACGAATTGGTTTAAATAAATCGATCGAGAGTGCAGTAGAACCGAATGTACAACGTAAGCGTAACATAACGTCATCGCATATGTTAATGCTCCGGTTGAGTCACGATTTCCGCTCAGCCGAGTTATTCCCCCTGCGTTCGTTAAGAGTTACTGCCCCTGCTAGCATCCGGGTGTCTTGCTTCAAAATATGGCGGCTTTTGTTCAGGCAACTCTA